AAGATCAAAACAATAAGAACGTCCAGGTATTTTTACCTTAAGTTACTTTTGATTTCAAGAGATGGGGGTGGGAGGCACTTTGACGGGCGAGAACTTAATTGACAATTTATCTCACAATCACGAGATTGCGTTAGCTGACCCCATCGGGCTACGTCAGTCTTTTACGCATCATGTCGGCCGATAAAGCCCGCGTATTACACGGACGATAGGCAATTACGAGCCTGGAACGTCCCATGCTTGCCGAAGGAACGCGCGGGAGAGAGTCTTTTATCTCGCCGATGGCGTTGTTTGCGTAACGTTACATAAAGCATGAAGTGCCGCAAGTAAGTGGTGTCACTTTAGCGACATGTAAGTGAGCGAGGGATTGAAATTAGGCCGATAAACGAGCGTCGGACAGTCGATAAGGCGCAATTAACGATCTTTACATAAATGTAGACGCGCGATAAGCGGATACGCGACATCAATTAAGATTTATCGCCGGCCGGTGATAACCAATCGATACAACGATCCGGCAATCTTATCCCGCGGATAACGAGCGCAACGTGTAAATTAAGCGTCAAATCGTTAATTACTACTACGAGGGAGAGAGATAAAGAGAGAGAAAGAGAGAAATAGAGAGAAAGGCAGAGGATGAGAGCGAAAGAGAGGAGGAAGAGAAGGACGCGATAGCGCGCTGTCACCACCGCCTACTCATTATTATCGTGAAAGTCACGAAAGTCGATATAGTCCGGCAATCAATATTATCACGCGATGGAATAGTTTCCAGGACTTTGTACATGGTTACGCGCGCTACTGAGAACTGTCTAAATTCTCGTCGATTGACGCTTAACACGATCGTCATTATAGCTCCGTGTCGTCGTTGCCTTACGACGTAAAATTACGTTTATTACGGTATTACTCGTTTGCTCGGGGAATGTTTCCCTCTCAATATTCCGAGATAATCAATTCACGCTCCAAATCGACGTAGCGTGCGCATAGTGCCGATCCAATGAACTCATGAGACAGATTAGTTTCCGCTCTTACGAGCGTTATCTTAGCGTTATCAACCCGGCACTTATTCGACGATCCTACAAATCTGTTTTTAACGGGTATTCTCGAGTCGTGGATTTTTGTCAGATTCCCTCTCGAATGGAGATACGACGTAGGAGGACGACAGTAGAGGAGTTGTCCCCGCTTATCGTGACGGGGCATAATCGGTGGTTAAAAATCGTTTGATGTTTACTCGGCAGCCAAGGGTGACAGAAGGCTACCTGTGTGTACGTGCCAGCGTTCCACAATACGATATACATATGTGTTTACTACCTGCATGGACCCTGATACGTCGCCAGTGGCGTAGAACTCGTAAATGCGAGGAGTCTACGAAACCCGTCATTTGGTCTCGCGCAAAAATGCAATCTCGAGTCGCACGTCTTATCAAGATAGATAACATTTCAGGGAGTATCTAGCACACATTTTTCTCGCCTAATAGAGTCACGGTCTCTCGCGCAGTCGATAACAGATAGAAACAAGAATTGATACGCGAAAAAGATAGAGGAACTTAAGGAAACATTGTATCAATTTCAAGTGATAACAATATCCATAATTCCTCCTAAGATTAAGATCGAATATTAAGTTTCAAACGCGGGGCACACTTTAATACATCGTCTCGATAATACCACTTCTGCTTAAGAATTTCTTTGTTTCTTTTGGTTTGTACATTGAGAGAAAGAATACTTAAGAGAGATTTGTTTCGACGAGTACTAATAACATATTTACTTATACTGATATTATAAAATATTTTTTTAAATAAAATATTACTTTTTCTCCTGAAAGCAATTGTTTCTTTCATGCAAATAAAAGAATTTAGATTTCAAAATAAATATATTATTAGTGAATGAATGCCTTTTATCTTTTTATTTTTTTCTCTATGTAAGAATAAGCAAAACAAGAAAATATCGCGATGGAGTGACTCGTACGGATTTGAGAGAAGCCGAGGTGTCTTCTCGTATTCTGTCGACTGCAAAGATTCTCTGCAACGCTAATTTCACCTAGTTCTCGCATAAAGTGGCAAGAAATTAAAACATTGCCTTCCCGACTTCAAAGCGAACTTTTCACGGATTCCTCGAGAGAAGCGGGCCAGAAATCAAAACGCGCCCTGCTGAATAAGCGACAAGGAGCGCGTCCACGACACTGGCGCGCGCGCGATAGCATTACGGGAGTACGTAGAAACGTATCGAGAGGCGAGCGAAAACGAGTATCCCGTGAGTGTGCTGGACGTGCCTCGGCCCTTAAGCAAACACCCTTTCGTCTCTTATTTGGCTACATACGAGCAAACGAGGAGAGCGGACCATTTACCTTCCAGTTCCACCGTGTTCGTAGTATCACGGGCGCAGCGGATGACCATCGGTGATCCATCATTTTTCGTCAGTTGGACGCCTCGAGTGTCTTCGACGCGCTAAGTGCCGCCAACGCGCGGACTCGACGCGTTGTTATTACTTACTCGAATCGGCAAACCATTCGTCGTTCTCGCCTACATACAAATTCTGATCTCGTGCGATTCTAATAGAAATTGAACCTCGTCGGTGTCTAGCCACGGTGATAGCAAATTGATATAACTACTCTAATCAGTGATAAAACGCTCACTTCTCCCGGTGGATAAATTAAGTGATTACAATGTTATGAGATGAAAAGTCATAAATAGTTGCTAGCCAACAATGTAATACTCAATTCTGCTTTTTTGAAATTTTCATGAAATTAACGCACCCTCAATTTTCACTTGCTATCTAATTTTTAAACTTTTAATTGAAAAATTTTAATAAGTATGATAATGACAATAATAGCTGAATTATATATTTTAGAATAGACAAAGCGCATCATCTTCTCTATTATATTTCACATGTAATGACACATAAATCACAAACCTGATTTCAAATTTCGATGAACGGGTTAATAACCAGCTAAGAGATTTTATCTGGTCCGTACTAGCTAGATTCAGGCCAGCTAGTTACATTTCTCCTAAGAAAAAGTCCGTTAGATTCTTGGACGCGTCCACTGGGAATAAAAATAATATTTTGGCTAAGAGAGATAACAAAATTATGAGACAGCCAAACGTGATTTTTTTCTTTCCAAACATCGGGGAATATTGAATGTGCATGTGCACGTGATCGCGTATTTGTTTGTGTGTATTTGACGTAAGTATTCGATTTTAGAACACGCGTGGACGCTTCATTCCGATTTTTGAAGACACTTTTCTGTGCGTTGGCGATCGGAAGGTGTGCCCCGAGGCATTGTCACCCCGCTGATAACCAAATACGCCTGGCCGATATCAGAGACGACTGATAAGGAGAACGATCACTCGGCGAACGGGGTGTGATACCTATTACGCGACTATTAGGTGCCCGATAACGCGACACGTATTATTGATACTTCATTGCGCGATGCTATCTGAGCGGATGTCCACTAATGCGCATATCTCGAGCGTAGGTTACACATTTCCCCGATAATCAGATGCTATAATTTGTCCGAATGACTTGCAACCGTCGTCAACGATAAAATGTTTTCACTATGAAATGGATACTCGTGTGTATTCGAAAAGTTCGTACTTTAAGAATTTGCATTTTATCTCGCACGCGGAAGATCAGTCGACAGTACGTTGACAACAAAAAGTTTGATATTTGTAACGATAATCAAGTTATAATCACTATAAAAATTATTACTATAAATAATCACTATAAATTATGGTAAAAGTCATTTTTTTAGTAAATTCTATTATAACGTTAATAATAATAATCTTATGTGTACGGTTATCATCAAAAGTACATAAAAAAAAAGTAATTAAACTGGTCAGCAGTCAACCGCCTCAAAGAAATCTATTGAATAAACTACGCGTTAGAGCAACAATGAGTTGCGTTCATGTAGTTATTGACCAAATCATAATCATTGAATCAATTGACATGTGTGACATATCACAGCAACAATGTAATTCGTTCAATCGACTAAATATTTGGTTGAACGAACAAAATTCGTTCAAACAAGTCTCGTTAACTCAACTTTTTTTCTCAGTATAACTATAATTTTAGTTAGATTAACCATTTCCTTCTCTCAGTGTATTTCGCAAACGAAGAACACGAATGTAACGGAAAGAATATCGTCGCGTGGGGTGGAATATTATAGTCTGCAAATCAGGAAAACTTGCAACAAGGAAGACACACGCTCGCCCTAACAATCCTCGAGTTTCACTTCGTACAATTCGGGCGGTTAAGCTTCTGGAGGAGGATATTCCGATCGGCAAGGAAGTTTGATTGAACGACAGGACGAATCGGCTCGGAAGTCTCAGATAATTTGCCCCCTAATCCGGAACGCGACTTCTACTCTACTTTGTGCGCACATCCAGCCGGCACCGTGGCGAGACAAATTGAACAGCGCAATTTCGCGTTAAGGAAACGAGCTGTCGCGTTGCAGATCATCTTCACGAGGAGATTCCGTGCCCCTTCGAGGAGCACCCGGGAGGGGGTGGAGAAGGCGATTTCCGTCGTTTCCTTCCGACCGAGCGGTTTCGCGAATCAGCTTGGGTAAGGTGGCCATCGGACTTGAGTCACGGTTAAATTAATGAGGCGATAATATCGATTACAATGCCGTCGGTATCCTCCGCCTCCGCCGCCGCCGTCGTCGTTGTCGTCACACGCGGACACCAAGAATCCCCCAAGAAGACCCAGCGGAATCGTCCATCCGCTCGCACCCTCGCCGCATCTTCTCACACGCCTCTCCTTCCGACTTCCGGCGGTCACGTGGCGAGCCTCCGTGCGTCTCTGTCTCGCGTTGGCGGCGCTCACGGCCGCCCGATTGGTCGTCCTGGGGGTGAGAGTTCAGCGTACGGGGGTGGCATCGCGTTATCCTCGTTGTGCCCGACGATGGCGCCTGATTCCGTCTGATTCTCGCCAACGTGCCACGCAAAAGTCGTGGGTGTAGCTTGGATACGCCCGGCCTGTCGGTGGGCTTGGCCAAGCCGGCTGCAGCATTCCCGCCGAGTAGGGGAAGCCTTTTCGGCGGACACGCGGTCATCCGCGACGTCACTTTGCGACGCGACGCCGAACCGCTCGCTCGCCCGTGCCGTCGGCTTCGTGCTGGGATCGTGGTGCACGTATAATCGCGCGATCGACCGGTTGCAAAAGACGTTTATTGATACTCATTTGAGCAGGGAGCATGATCGACCAATGAACTGACGCTTGCCAGTCGCATCTCGATGACATCTGCGTGACAGCCACGAGTTTCAAGTTTCAAGAGCGCTTCGGAGGGTCGCTGACACTTGCACAGAGGCACAACCGCGTCGCTAGATCGCGCATGATCGATCGACTCGACTGGACGGAGTCTCGTGGTCGCCGCTCAGATAGAAATCCGATTGTTATTAGGTCAGTGTCGGCTCGACAAATCAGCCGGGTAGCGTCTTGGTCGCGCGATCGATCGTTTGTCGGTTGTTGTCTCGAAAAAAAGAAAGAGAATCACGGAGGAGGGACGACCGTCGCGCTTAGACCCGCGATTCGTGAGAGTCAGTGTTAATCACGGAGACTGCCGTAGCGATCGAGTGGACAAAGAGAGTACCTAGATTCGGTTAAAGGATACTACTACCGATCAGTGTCGATCACGGGAACGATCCTAACGGGAAGTATGTGTTAGAGACACCTGCAGTGATCGCGAGGACATGGCAGCTATGCATTACAACGCGCAGATGGTCTCGGAGGAGCTGCACCAGCACCCGCGACACCTGTACAGTCTCCAACAAAGACTACAGGATCCCGGTTCGTCGCCGCGATCGGAGGACGCACGGTCCCCGCTGGAGAGCCGCGTGAGATCCCTGGAGGAAATGCGCTTTGTGGGCGGCAGATCGCCGGATGTGGAGGAACGGCTGGCGAGATACCACGAGGATTCCGGCAGTAAACGTTTCCCCAAGGAACACACCGCCACCGGCTTCTTTCAGGAGCCGGAGAACGCGGCTAGGAAGTGCTTCGCCGACGAGCTGACGGCGAGTCGCTGCCGCGAGCCGGAAACCTCACCCGGTAGGACGTCCTCGCCGCAGAGTTACATTCTCAGCTCGGCCAGCCAGCACAGCGGCTCCATCGGCAAGACGTCCTTCTGCATTGACGCGCTGTTGGGGCGCGCCGCCACCAAACAAACGGAGATCGATCAGTCGTCGACTGATCGGCAGAAGACGTTCGCCAGAAGCCACGCTGTACAACCAGACGGGCTGAACCTCAGCGGTGTCCAAGGACGAGAATCCCCTCCGGGCGCCGGAGTGAGATGCCCTACAGACCAAAGGATCTCTTCCTCTTTGGGCAATCCCCTGCATCCTTTCGTTCAACATCACGGTTCTGATTCGCCGAGTCTCGAGACGCGTGAAAGACACTCCGCGAGCCGCGAGGCCGTCCTCGCCAGTCTCCACCACGGCGACACCGGCGTGTCGGTGCAACGCGGTCAGTTCAGGCCCGAGACCGGGGCCAGCAGTTATCGGAACGTGGACCGGCTGGAGAACGTCGAGGACGACACGTCTGTCGACGTGGACCCGACGCGAACCGGAAGTGCCAGTCCCGGCAGCAACGCGAGTCGCAGTCCCGCCTCTAGTCCCCCCATTTCACCCGGCTCGGAGGACCCCTCGAGCAACGGGGTCCTCAGCCATCAGAGTCTCGCGTCCGGACCCTACGGAGTGGGCGCGGCGGTGGTCAGACAGAATCAAGGCCTCCTACTACATCCCGCGGGTCCACTTATCCATCCCGGCGGACTGTACTATCATCCGGCCGGCGGCAGCGCCTTCCACTCAATACACAAGGAGGGTCAGCCGGTCGGCCATCCTCAATCCGGCGGGCCTCATCCGCAGCAACATCACATCCATCCACTTCAGCTCGAGTGGCTCGCCCGGACCGGCATGCTGTATCCGAGACTGCCCGCGGATTTGGCCGGTGAGTGAGCGAATGGCAATGGCCGTTTCTGATACTTTCATTTGCTCGGAAGCTTCGCGATGCTATTATTGAAATGTAGCGGATTGTTGCCGAAATCGCGTACCGGTCTCCCCTAAGTCGTGTCGAATTTTTCTCCAAGTGTTTGTAACACACACAAAATAATATATGATCTGAATGTTTCGTATCTATATTTCTCGTTGCTTCTTTATTTCTCATTTTGACCGTCATCCGAGTAGAAATGTAACTAACCGGCCTGAATCAAAATTAGTGGCCAACTGGATTACATGATAGATTATGAAAATGTTTTAGTTCGTTAGTAATTTGTCACTAGTTGATCATTCACTGAATTATAAAATCGGATTTGTCGTCTAGCCACTGTTTAGTCATTACATATGAAATATGATAAAGTAGATGACGCTCTGTCTATTGTAAAATACATAATCCAGCTACCATATCACCACTAGTGCTTTAAAATTAAGTAACAAATCGAAATTAAAGTTACGTTAATTTTTAAAAAATTTCAAAAAAACAGCGGTAAACATTATAATATTGGCGAGCAACTATGTGATTTTTTATTTTATAACCCTAATTTTGTTTATTTAATTATCAGCTAACTTATTTATGTAACCACTAGGAGAAATAAATGTTACATTACTGGTTAAGAATATATTAGAAAATATATTAGATATTAGAAAACAAATTTACTATATCGTAGCTGAACACCGACCAGGTTTCATTTCGATTAGAATAGATGCCGTTCATATTGAATAACAATGAAGAAATTTATGAAGTACGATTTAGGAATTTGGTACAATTTCAGGCAACTCTCCCCTAGGTGAATTGCTCAATTAATGAGACCGTTTCCCGTCGAGTGCTCGTATCATACGATATATTTATCTGTTGTTTTGAAGAATTCTCAGAATACTTTATTTTTAAACAACGACTTATTTTTAAACAACGCAGTTTCGGGACTTTTAATCGTTATTATTACGTCGAATTTAGAGAGGTTGATGAATCTCTTACAATAATATATTGCCTAGAATAACAATTAAGATTTCATCTCACCTCTTAATCTTTTCTTTCTATCTCTCGCTATCTTTTAATTACTTTCAGTCATTAGTATCAATAGAATAACAAGTCTTGAAGAATATACTTACAGAAATGTGTTTTGAGTATGTCTGAGTAGGTCATAAATTCACAACGTGATATAAATAACGTCAAGTTGCAAGTTGCGTCACTTCCTAATAAAAGCGTTAATCACGTCCGTCGGGCCAAATTTATCGATAAAAAACGAGACAATATATGTGTAATTAATCGAATAGTATCGTTAAGATTGCTGCGCCGATATACGATACATGCAATTAATTGTGCTGATGAAAATCACAACGATTATCACCATTAAAATGCGGCACATATCGAAATGTTTCATGTTAAAATATCGTTCGATCTTTTCAGCAAAATATGCTACGAGCTGATAACGATACTATATGCGTTTCAAGTGATTAAATGCGCTTAATTATATCAACGTGATATAGATTCTTAAAATTTTTCTCTCGTACACACGCGCATAACAAAAAATATGAGAAATATAAAATATTTATAATATTTTATATATATAATGTATATTTCTATAAAATATAAAATTTTATATATTTGAAAAGTATATACGGAGAAAAATATTGTAGTAAAAAATTACATTAAAATTATATTTTTTTCTACAACTTCTTTCTTGTAAATCTAAAATTATAGTACAAATTACTATAAAAATTATAAATTTTACAATTTTATTAAATATATGATGTGAAAGATATCAAATAATCACAATAGTTTTATAGTAAAAAGTCGATTGTGTAAAAGATTTTTAAACAAATATATGCACTGTGAAAGGAAAAATATCTAAGAAATCAAAAATATTTATTTGGTAAGTACTAGTAACAAATTTACTTAAACCCAAATTTTTTTAATTAAACAAAATAAATAATTGTTTTCATAAAAAGCTACGATTTTCAAGCAGGAGTAAATATTTTTTTATTTTTTGAATCTTTTTTTCAATGTAGTAATTTTGATCATAATTCTGTATGATCCAAAGTTACAACAATTTTATTGTAATTTTTACTACAATATTTTTTCTATGTAGTTTTAAGAAATCTCTTCAGAGTAAAAGGTAGCTTCCGTTTTTCTCCCTAAGTGACGAGTCACACATCGAATGCCTCTTACAAGGAAAACACGTAAAGCTTTACACGTAAAGCAGACACATCATTCTCATTAACATCGTTAGTCTGATTTGCGCGCGACAGCGAGATTTTTATCACAATCGAGAACAAAATCGCGCGAGGTGCGCTGCATCGTAGGAAGTCGCGATCGTAAAAGGCGATCCGACCTTCGCGCTCGAGCTGTTAATCCTATTTCAATGCCTGATAAATTAGTGATTTGATAATAATTTGCGAGGAAATCGAGCGCAGCCGATAACGGTCGTTAAAGCCGATAACGATCGGCTCATAAATCGTCTTTCCCTAAGCCCGCCGGTGATGTTCTCTATACTGATCCGAGAAGAAAAATATGTCGATTGCGACGTTATCGCCGGTCAAAGATCCACAACAAATAGCGCGCGAGATAGCGGACGGACATCTAATTGGAAGGATCGGAAGGTCGGAATCGCAACTACCAAATGAATAATTTTGTAACGAAATCTCGATTGTCCGACTTCAGGAAAAATCTCACGAGAACGTAAACAGATAACGAGGTGTTATTTCCGTCGGTGAGTTTTGAGGGCGCTTTACCTTGGAGAAAACTTAATTCGCGGTCGGATAATTAATTAAAGCCGGCCATTAATCACCGTTTGCGTTCGCAAAAGAGTCCTCGTGAAAGAGAGGAGAGATCCCACTTCCAAGAACGCTGAGGGACGAAGAGAGACAAGGCGCGCAAAATCGCAGTCCCTCGCGTGAGTGAGTGAGTGAGTGAGTGAGTGAGTGAGTGAGTGAGTGAGCGAGCGAGCGGATCGTCGCGCGATATCGTCGATCGACGGTAACTCATGCGTGGGAGTTCGTGTGTTATGTTAGCTCTCGACGGCTATTACCAGCTATTAACTCGAAAGTGAGGCAACGTCGAAAGACAGATTGCCGCTGCGTGATGAGCAGATAGTACATGTTTACGTGTCTAATGTACCGCACGGGCAGACCATATTGGCCGGTTACTCAAATTTTACGATCTCGATAACGACAACGCGACGCTTCTCCGCGCGGATCCTCTTCGGAAACTTTTCAACGAATATTTCACACACGGTATTCCGAAAGTATTACATACATAAAAGTCGAGCATTACAGCATTACGTATAAATAATGCCAATAATGAGAAACTTTTATTGTTATCTTTTTCCACGAAGCATCACAAAAATTATATTCTTTTTCCTACATGAAGAGTAGGAAAATATTATAATATAATTTATTAATAATAATTATAATTTTTTTCGTATCAGTTCTTTTAAATTTTATTATGTTTCTTACGTGCAAAAGTAGATCGTCAGAAAAGTCTAACATAGTAAATTTCTCTAGAAATATAGCAAATTTTTTAATGGGATACTTCAATTTCTAATATTTAAATAGAAAAAAACTGAAAGAAAAAGATATTTGAAAAATAAAAAAATGTTTATTCAGTTGATATTAATAATATATTTACTTAAGTCTCAATTCTTTTAAATTTCTTAGAATAAATAATTGCTTTTATACAAAGCTAAGGTTTTATAAAAAGTTAAGATTGAATTGTCCGGCGTTGCCACACTTCTGATATATCTAGAATATTTAAACTTAAATTACCATAAAAATCGAGGGAAGAAAATCAAGGGAAAGGAGTGGAGTATCCTGGTTTCATGATAATCTGTATTGTCCGCATAGTCCTAGAGGGTAACTATACAAAATTTGATCCAGATAGGTCAAAAAGTTTAGAAATTAATAGGGAACATACAGACAGACATATTTTATCTTATTTATATAGATTGGTGTAAGTAAATATATCATCAGTATCTACCGAGTAAATATTTCTTATTTCTTAAGTATTTTTCTCTCAGTTCACATATGAAATAAAAAAAGTCAATTACAGTATGTCGTTCTATTCCTTGGTTACAAAATTATTAGTAACGTTTATAGTCAAACTATCTTCATATATTAGACACATAATTCTTTTTTAGTTTTTAACTCTCATTACACATCTAACAAATATTTTAAGTTAAAATTCTCATTGCGCTCCATCAATCTAACAGAACTTGGTAGAGCGAGATCTCTCAATTCAACAGTCCCACCTGAGGAAATCGATCCGAGTGCATCTCTTCATTCTCTCTCTCTCGGTCGGCGCTTCCTCGCAGAATTGTGCGAGCAGGAGGAACTACGTCGCCAACTAATTCGCGCGAGCCTCACTACGAATCACAAGAGATGTCTCGAAAATCCAAAGGCGGAAACGACGAAAGCGGGAGGAAAGAAAAGGCCTGCTAAGTGGCGACGGAGAAACTTGAAAGGCAGAGGGCAAAAGGGTTGGAGGGCAAAGGGCCAGGGGTACAACAAGGGACTTGGTTACCACGGTAAATTTCACGCTCGGAAAAAAGAGCCGTGGCCGCGTTGTCAGGCCAATCAGTCGAGGGCTTTTATCGAACAAATTGGTCAGTGAACGTATGGCGGCGGCGGATATCCCGGACCGGGGGAGAGAGGAAGGTTGGCAGGAATGAGAGGTGGACAGTTGGCGGGGGCGGCGGGGACGCCGCGGACACAAGTGGCGAACGGCGGCGGGTGCGCGGGGTATTTCCTGTCAGATGATCCTGATTGGTAGTTGCCGAGCAATCCAGCGTCGACCAAAAAAGGCGAAAAAGTCGCGAGCGGTGGCGTAAAACAAGCGCAAAAAAAAACGGCAAACGACAAAAAAAGAGGGACAGAGGGACGGGAGAGCGAGAGAGAACTGCGGCATCCGCGCCCGCGCGCGTGGCACGAAATAAAACGCGCGCCGAATAACATCGA